TCATGTCATTAAGCTCACCGTTAGCCTGGCATTATGCATAAAACCGGGATGGTGAGTCATTTCGAAGAACGGCAGCACAATCGGAAAAATAAAGCGGAACTAACCCGAGATGAATGATAAGCATGAAGCAAATAGCGTTCACGAATCGCAGGGCGCCACTTGTTGATGTCTGGCAAGATCGAACCCGATCGGGTCTTGAAGCATCAGAAGACGCTGCCTTCTTTCTCCATAGCTGCGAAGGAGGAAGAGTTGTAAAAATTGGAATCTGAATAGAGACAAAAACTTTTAAGTATGTGTAAATTACCAAACCTGAAAGCGATTTGACTTGAGGGACAAAAGCAGGCTTTAACCTCGAGGAAGCATCTCGAGATTCAGAATCTCCCTTTTTAGGAGATGCGCTCCGGGCAGTCTTTTCGCTGTCAGGCTGGGAAGAGGAAGACATATCAACCGGTCGAGGAGGACCCATTGGTTCAGTAGGAGGGGATGATCGAGGTGAACGGTCAGTCCGGGCCCTTGACTTCTCCCTTCGCGGGGAAGAATCACCACGAGAGGACTTGTCTCTCTTCCTGCGAACCAAGTTCTTAAGTGGTTCATTGCTAAAATCATCTCGGGAAGGACGAGGTGAATCACGGCGAGGAGATCGATCCCTCCGAGGAGAACGTGCGTCACGACGATCGCGACGAGGAGTTAATCTGAAAGAAGCGATGGATCTGGCCCCTTCGGTGCTGCCATCATCAACCAGCAAGGTCCTACTATAGTCCTTCTTATCTATTGAAGCCGCAAGAAACTCTTTTTTCTCCTCGCAAGCCTCAGCTATCGGCTTGGAGAGCGCCTTGCGCTTGGCCGCAAGGGCCCGAGATGACATCCCCTGAGTTGAGGGAGGAGGCGGGAGTTTGTGAAGTTGACCTGGGGGGCTCATCCTGAGCCTGTGGTTGGCTTCTAAAAATCGTTCAAGACTGAAAGAATTCCAAAGGGTTTCCCCTTCGAGAATTATTTTGAAGAATCAATGAATGCTTCAGATGGGAGAGTCGGAGCGACAAAAGCTGCGAAATGAAACAACAATTTTAGTCAATAAAGATAATAAAACAACCGGGAAAGATATATGCAACCTAATCTCTACCAGGTTTCGCAGACCACTTCGAAGGGAGTAAATCTACAAGATTTCCGATCGAAGCGGGAGTTTTCTTAATCAGAAACCAAGGATGGTGCCAATTTTCATCCTTGTTCGGAAGATGCGAAATGAAGTTTCTGTTGGCGTTTGGATATGCTGAGAAATACCCCGTTTTCTTCGATGAACTTCTCACGCTTAGAAGCTCATTTAGCTCAGCGACTCCGATAACGTATGCGGCCTCCGCCGCGATCGTTATAATTCCAAGGATAGTACGAAGAAGATTAGGGGTTAATTGAGGAAGAGCAATTTTAAGAGCCGCTAGGTATCGAACTAGGGCTTCGGGAAGGGGAAAGGTCAGCCTGCAACCTTTAAAATAGATCTCGTATACACAGAAATAGCCATCGCGGTGGCTTTCTGGGGACTCCGTAGGATCAGCTATCTACGCCTCCGCCATAATTCCCGGTGGGATTCCGCAGAGCTCCTTCAATTGTTCAAGGGATTGAAGGGTGCAGGTGGATCTATAGTGCGGACCGGCAATATCATTAGGGCGGGTGCACTCATCATTACTAGAACGCCTCTCATCGAAAGACGGAGACTCGGGTCTATCGGAATCGGAAGTCATTGGGATGAATGAAAAATTCAAGTTTCAGGAAAAAGAAAATTTGGCGAGAGAAGCAGAAGGAGTTTTAACCACAAAGAACAAGAGTAAAAGTAAAAATGAAAAAGAAGGTTACCTCACGCAAGCTAGGTGATAATGATGGAACCGTCTTGGGAATCGTGGAAGAAGTAGGAAGGTTTTTCCCGCTTTAATAGTAAATAATCGATATACGGTCATAATGGCGACAGATGTCACGCGACTAAATATGGGTAGCGCCGAAATTAAAGGACTGATGGGATCTTGGCGGGAATCAGAAGATTCCTCGGAACGAAATCTTTGGTCATTAAAGCATTTAAAGTCCTCCGAATTAGAATAGCACTTCGAAGAACTTGGGGGGCTAATTGTTGGTGTCGGATCCCGCACCAGAATTCCGAGACCAACCAAAGATTGCCACGTAGTCAAGATAATGGCCCATAAAGGATAAAGCCCATTGGACCCGTGAGCCAAAGGAACAGTCGAAGTGGTTATCACCACAAGGAGAATCCGAAGTGACTGCACTTCGACATGAGTCCAACGTAGAAGTCACGGGTAAGTCGGTTCAAGGATATTTGGGCCAAAAGGCGAGGCCCATGAAGATCAGAGTCAACTCAAATTCAAACGTTGAGCATTAAAGTCAAAGATTAAAACGGACACATTTAAGAGAGAATAATTGTACTTAATTATTCATTTTAATGTCGTTTTTCTATGTATAAATAAAGAGGCCAAGGGCCATGTAAAGAGGATCTTTCTTCGAGCAAGAAATACTATAGCAATTTTCATAGTAATTCATAGGCTTTTTGCATATTTATTTTTGTCCCTCAAGAGTAATCTTTCCTACTTAATAAAAATACTTGAGTGTGTGAATCCGACATCCACAATGTCCACAGCCACGATCTGAGGATCTGTCTCGATGGACATATAGGATTCTTTGCGGGAATCTAGTACTGGAGCCGATTCCGAGGGCCTCTGGGCACTGTTCCTCATTAACAACTCGTTGTTTTTCTCGGCCAAGAGCAAACAAGATAACAAATCTTCGTACAATGTATGTTTCAATGCACGATATTTGCTGCTGAAGCACAATGTTTTGGGTATGGAATGTGGATAATGTTTTCTCGAGGAGATCATTATCAGACACCTCTTCACCACATAGTTTCATGATTGAAACTATCCGAAAGAGTTCGGAGTTGTAGTCATCCACAGATTTGTAATCTTGGAACCGGAGTTCCTTCCAGTCAAACTTGGCTTGTGGCAAGAGGACCGCTTTCTAGTGATCATACCGTTTTTTCAGGACCACCCAAAGTTCGAGTGGGTTCTCAAGAGTGAGATATTGCTGTTTGAGGCTCGCGGCCAAATGATGGTGGATATAAAATATCGCCTGGGACCGGTCTTTATCAGATGCGGTGTTATCCGCTTTGATACACTCACCCAGTCCCTTTGAGTTGAGGAAAATCCTGGTGTCCATGGCCCATTCGAGATAGTTTTCACCGGAGACCTTGAGGGCCTCGAACTCGACTTTCTGAATGTTTGACATCTTGTTTTCATGAAATTGATTTCATTAGGGGTTTGTTAAAATAATAGTTATAAGAATAAAGTTTTCGATTTTTTTTTTTTGGAAAACTTTCTATTTTAGGCAAGTTTCTATTTGAGGAAACTTTATATTTGAGGAAAGTTTCTAATTTGGGAAACTTTCTAAATGAGGGAAGTTTCTATTTCGGGAAACTTTCTATTTTAGGAAAGTTTTCATTCCGGGTCATTTGCTGTTTGAGGAAAGTTTCTAATTTGGAAAACTTTCTAAATGAGGAAAATTTCTATTGGAGGAAAGTTTCTATTTTGGGAAACTTTCTAATTTAGGAAACTTTCTCGGGAATCGTAAATTTGAAGGATACGGTTTTTGGTTATACCGAACATAAGTTCGGTTTAATGGTTTAAAGATGAACCGGAATGTTAGATTCTGGTTTAAGGATTTTTGGTTTAGAATAACCGGTTTGAACCGGTTTACCCGGATTGAGATCCGGTTATTATTTTCGGAACCGGTTTGATAATCGGTTTAGATATATAATCAAAATGATTTTTGGTTTAAATTTATGTTAACCGAGTTGAGATCCGGTTTATTAGTTAACCGAAAGTAAATTGATTTTGAGTCGGTTTAAATGATGAACCAAATTAATATATGTTTTAATTGATAACCGATGAACCGAATTGATATTCGGGTTTAGGGGTTAACCGAGAATGATTTCCAGTTTAGGGGATATACGAAAATTGCGGTTTTGGACATAGAAGCGGTTGAGCCGCGATTTTACAAAAGTAAGCGGTTGAGCCGCTAGGGTTTCAATCGGTTTTAGGGTTTATGTTTCGATGATGAAAACGATTTGAATTCGCGATTGTAGACATGCGGTTGAAAACGTTTGAAAAACGCATTAGGGTTTTCGTTTCTCTTTGAGGAAAACGATTTGAATTTTGCGGTTTTCAAACGCAAAAACGTTTTTTAGGGTTTCATATGGCAAAATCGTGATTGGTATTGAAAGGGTTTTCAATATTGATTTGATTTGTAAATGATTGAATATTGATTTGAAAAACGTTTTTGAATATGAACCGAATTGATGAGATGATGGATCTACCTTGTTTTCACCGTTTAGGATCTGACTGGATATGAACCGGGAGCTAAAGACCTCGGTATTCACAAGCAGATCGGAGAAGAGAGATGGCCGGAGGAGAACGGCGGCAGCGGCGGTTGAGATGAAGAACGGCGGCGGCTGCGGTTGATGCTAGGTCTAGGGTTTTCGAAAAAATGTTTTGCCAGAGCAAAAGTGCTGATAACGTATTGTAGAACTAATTATTTTATTGATCCTCAATGGAATATATAGAAATACATCGGGATATAATACATAATGAATAACCATGATGGGTTTATTGGCCCGGTGATAAATCTAATATGATATATTATAACAAAAACTATGATAAACCAAGATATTTTGCTAAGCTAGCTGTCCTTACAAAAATTCAACTCCAAAATTAATATTCCAAAATATATATATATCTCCAAAAAATAAAATAAATAAATGTACCGAAAACAAAATCATCGTGGAACAATGAATAGATTCTGAGTTTTAAGCATGTCATCATGAGTCATACGTCCTTTATTCTTATAGCTAAGGGACACATTCAATTTTATCTTCATTGAGAGTAACACTGCTTGTGGTACAAATGATTGAAAATAAAGGAATGCAGTTCACTCCCGTTTATTCCACCAAATATATAATTTGTAAACTAGTTTCTTTGCCGGCCGGTTTGCTGATAACCAATATATTTCTTTGAACAATCCCATCTCATAACTTCCACACTTTTAACTTAATATCAAAATTATTCTAATGCATTTCATTGTATAGAAAGGTCGTTTTCAAAGAATGTTGTAGATCTTGTTATATAATACCATTTTGTGGATATATTATCGTAATGGAAAATTGAACGATATGAAGCACTGGAGTCCCAATTGTGTTCATGTGATTGCCTCACATTCACTGAGCTGTCGGCCGTTGCTTTAGCCTTGCTGGTTGTTTCTGAGCATAACAAAGCCATAAGAATACGTTACGAGAAAGCTGAAAAAGTCGACAAGCAAAAAATCAACTTCACAGTAGCAGTGATTGACGAGCATGAAGACATAGGGACAGCTTGTGTTTTATTTAAAATGAGTTTAAATGGAGGCACACACACGTTGTCTCACCTGGTCAAGGACAATGACGATGGAAGAAGGATCACATGGTTCAAGCTAACATTAAATTCTGTTTCTCAGCAAACTACTGGTTCAACGCCTTAGTCTAATGAGGTACAAAGAGAGACAAATTGGAATGATGTTACACAAACAGAAGCTGTTTGGGGTGCAAAACATACAAGCCTCAGTATCAAAATCTCTCTCGCCATAAACCTCACGCTCTCTCGTTCATTTACATCGCTATATGCAAACAAAGTCATGGCAAAATCACAAACATGAACAACAGAAACACATACAAACCCAAGCTAGAATCACAATTAAGATTAAATGACATACAAAACCCAAGCCAAAACTCGATAAGACCAACAGACAAACTAACAAACCCAAGCTAGAATCACAATCTAGATCAAATGACACACACATTGCATTTTGAAACACTTAAGAGAAGAAGCACTGATTTTGTTTTGAAACGTTCTAAAACTAACCTGTTGCTTGGTGAAATTTATATCAGGGCTTGCGACAAGACCAGCAAGATCATATAACGGAACACTAAGTATAAACTGCAAGAATGATATGCCAATCACAAAAAATCGTTTTCAACACCACAAGCTTAAGAACAAGACAAAACAATTCCACATTCTCCACAATTTAGGTCTTAAACTTGAACAATCGATTCCCAAATCAAGTAGTCTCACTTCTCTAACTCTAATGCACTTAATTAAACCAAAATCCCCAAAATTTTCGTTTTGCTCCTTTCTCAAGAACCCTAACATGTGAAATTTCAATCAATCAAGCTCAATTTCAACTAGAGGATCGATTATAATAAGGATATAAGCTACTAGAACTCAATATAAGCAAGATTCGAACCCCAAATCATCAAGCATTCCAAGTTTTAAAACAAGGGTTTTAAGAAGAGTGAGAATAGTGCTTGTTACCTTCAAATCGGTTGAGATAAGAGTGAAAATGGGACTTGGGGAAGGAATTACTCAGTTGGGTGCAAGATTTCGGAATGAAAGCAAGTGATTTCAGAGAATTTGATGAAGAATTGGGAGAGAAAAAAGAAGATCGATTTTTAATGAGTTAGAGGCTTGTTTGCCACTGAACCGGAAATATTAATCCTGCCTGCCATTTTAAAGTCTGAATGCCACCCATAGTGTGGATTATACCTTTATACCCTTAATGGAGAAATTAAATTAATTTTAAAACAAAAAACAAAGAAAAATCGAAATCGAAATCGAAATCCAATCGAGTTCTTTGTCTTCATTTCTCCGGCGACGACAAACGGAAGATTCTCCGGAGCTGCTGAGGTCGGATTCGTTGTCCGACATTAGCTCTGGCGCCGGTTTTGGAGCTTCATTGTTGGATCGAGTTTAAGAGCTCGTCATTTGTTTCGTCTACTCCCGCTCCTCCTCTTAGCCTCGCCGTCGACTCATCCATTTCGACGGAACTCCGTCGTAGGACCTTCTTTCTTCTCCTCCATTGTTGGATCTTGATTGAACCAAGTAAGTGTTTAGAAATTTGTTTGTTTAGGTATTTGCAATGGTAGAGTTTGGCAATAGTAGGTGTAGAAATCTCTAGATAGTAGGATTTATGAGTTGAATCGTGTTGAATCTGAGGGAAATTAGAATGTAGCTCCTCCTTTGTATCGTTAATTGCAGAAGGTCATGGTACAACTGAAATTGAATAATACAACTGGTACATATATGATAGTGTAGTTCGACTGGTACAATTGGTATAACTGTTACAAGTGCTGTATCGAAATTAGTGATTTATTTTGTTCTATCTGCAGTGCGAAGAAGAAGAAGATCCACACAAACATATATTTTGACTATGGAGGGTACTATTCAGAAGAGCATGAGTGGAATTGCAACAATTCACTATATGCTATAATGTTTAAGACAACATCTTTGGAGAGAATAACATATACGGTGTTGGTAGATAAGATCTGTAAGAAGATTGCTATAGACGGAGCGAGAAGGAAGATGAAATTGAGTTACATGATATGTAAAGGAAGGAGAGAGTCTTATATTTTAGATGATGAGGATGTTTGTATATTCTTAACATCATTGGATAAAGAGGGATTTAGACCAGTTTTGCATGTGGAGTTATGCAATCTTGAAAGTAATCAGATGGTGGAGCTAGTACCAAGAGTAGAGAGAAGAAGTTCATGCGGTTTGAATTATGGGGAAGTGGCTGCCAATGATGTAAGGACTGATGATGTAAGGACTGATGATGTAAATAATCAAGCAAACTTGAGTACGTTTAGATGGGGGGAAGGATCAGAACAAGAGAAAGAGCCTGCTATAGTTAATGAACCGATTATTGAACAGCTCATGATAGAGAATGGTGTAAATGAAGATTGTGAGAATGATGTTAGGCATGAATATGTTGAGCTTTCGCGGACTGTACAACCAAGTGAGGAAATAGTTAAAGAATGGGAAGATGGTTTGGAATTGGAAAAAGATCAAGAATTTCCTTCTAAGGAGGCAGTATGGGATTTGGTTAATAGAGCTGCAAAGGCCGAGTTGTTTGGTGTGAGATGTGTGAAGTCGGACCCGGTGCGACTTATGATTGAATGCAGTCAAGCTTCCATGGGTTGTGAATGGTATTTAAGAGTTGCTAGAATAAAGAAATCTGATTTTTGGAGTGTAAGAGTTCACAAAAACATGCATACATGCTCTAGGTGTGAGGAGAGTACTAGCTATTTTAAACAAAAAGGCACACCACGATTAGTAGCAAGTGTTTTGCATGAGGACTTCCGTGGTCAATTGAAAACACCGGATCCTAAAACCATCATGACTCTTGTTAAAGGAAGACTTGGTTTGGATTGTTCCTACTCCACCGCCTTGAGAGGGAAAAAACAACATGTTAGTGATATGCGTGGGAACCCTGAAGTTTGCTACACGATGTTGTATGCTTATCTCCACATGTTGAGAGAGGTGAATCCTGGGACAGTAACGGAAGTGGAATTGGATGCGGAAGAGAGGTTCAAGTACTTATTTATCGCTTTAGGAGCAAGCATTGAAGGGTTTAAGGCAATGAGGAAAGTGTTAGTGATTGATGCAACTTTTTTGAAAACTATATATGGTGGGATGTTAGTTATTGCAACAGCTCAGGATCCTAATCGTCACCATTACCCCATTGCGTTTGGTGTAATTGATAGTGAGAATCATGCTAGTTGGAATTGGTTTTTTAGAATGTTGAGAAAGGTAGTACCGGATGAAGATGGTTTGGTTTTCATAAGCGACAGACATCAAAGCATCATCAAGGGAGTGATGGATGTGTTTCCAAACGCATCACATGGTCATTGTATATGGCATTTGTCCCAAAACCTTAGGCCAAAGTTGACTGGGGACAAGGACGTAGGTGTTGATAAATTCAAGGAATGCGCTCATGTATATACTAAGACAGAGTTCAACATTCAGTATGGTGATTTTAGGAGAAGGTATCCTAGAGCTGCTGAATATTTGGATAATTCCATTGGGGTTGAACAATGGGCTAGGAGTCATGCTGAGGGAGACAAGTACAACATAGATACTAGCAACTCCGCAGAGTCAATGAATGCTGCGTTTAAGGAAGTAAGGAAGTACCATCTTTTACCGATGATTGATGCGATATTGGAGAAGTTTTCTGAATGGTTCAACAAACATCGAAAAGATTCTGCCAATGCATCGAACACAACGCAAGTGGTGCCTGTTGTGGAGAATATATTACATATCCGATGTCCTATAGCTGCGAAGTTGATGGTCACTGAGCTTAATAGCTACCGACGCGAATATAGCGTAATTGGAGTTGATGGTTTAACATATTTGGTGGACTTGGATATGAAATCTTGTACTTGTAGGTGTTTTGATATAGACAAGTACCCTTGCATCCATGGTATAGCCGCAGCCATTAAGCATTGTCGGAATGAATGGAGAACAACGGATGTAAGCATATATGGTCTTTGTTCGCAATATTACTTGATCGAGACGTGGGCATTGACATATTACAAAACAATTTACGTTGTGCCGCATGAGTCTCAATGGACTTTCCCAGCTGACTACGAGGAGAAGATCGCAAAACCGCCGGATTACAAACCAAAGAAAGGTAGAAATCAAGAAACCCGATTTCCATCCACCGGGGAAAAGCGACGAAAGAGGACCCAAAACAAGGCTCGGCCGGGCATTAACTTGGAGAGTTGGTTGCAGCCCCCTCCCAATGATGAGAATGGTTAACTTGCGTTTCTGTGTTTTACTTGTATTTCTCGCATGTGCATTAACAATTCATCTGGTTCAACTGGGTTCAGCTAAGAACATGTCTGTGTCTCGTTTGTGCATTAACAATTCAGCTGGTTCAACTGAGTTCAGCTAAGAACATGTCTGTTTTTTTTAATTTGTATTTGTATTCGTTTATATACTGAGTTCAGCTATTACAAGTAAGTTTCAATATGTTCCATAAGTTTAGCTTTAACTATTCAACTGGTTCAACTTGTACAGCTACGATAGTATTATAAAACAACATATTTTAAAAAAAAAAGGAAATAAAAGAATAATTCTATAATATAATCATAATAGAATTAACTTTTAAAGAAAATTTAAACATTTGAATACAACTTTTAAAAAAATCTATGGAAAATGATGTTCTCACACAAACAACCTCTTCTAGTATAAGGGATACTTACTATAAGATAACCTAAATCATAGTGAAAGACGTGAAAACAATTATTTGGTAAGTATAATATTATGTAAACCTTGAATATGCCAAATAATTCAGAGAAATCATTTGTCCAACTTATATTTAATTATTTAAATACTAGTCCAACTGCAAACAAGAAAAAGTATTAAAAGTCCAACTATGTTGCTTCTAGTACAACTAGACAACTATGAGTATATTCAGCCATCATGGGTCCCACTATTAAATAAGTACAGCCGCCAAACTCATTTTTTTATTAAAACAATTTTTGGTTTTAAATATTTTTTAAAAAAGAAAAGGAAGATAGATCTAGGGTTTTCGAGCCTCTCTCTCTCTTTAACTCTCGAGCCTCTCTCTCTCTTTCATTTGCGAAGAAAACCCAGAGCTTTTTTTTTCTAAAATTTCCGGCGGCGAGAGCGTACATTCCGGCGAACAACTGCTTTCTAACAAGGTTGGTGGTTAATTGATTTCTAATTCCTAGATCTATGGTTTTCTTATTTGATTTCTAAATCATAGATCTAGGGTTTTCTTATTCCGATTCTTCTTGATTTTCTGCAGTGAGAATGCCAATCAGCTATACTCAAAGCTCCGATTCAGAGCCCGGATATGAGTTGGGCAAGAGCCGACGGTAATTGGGGGGTTCCGAGATATTGTTTCTGTGGAACCCTAGTTAGGCTTGTCGTGTGTACCACTGGAGATAATCAAGGAAGAAAGGAATACAAATGTCCAAATTCTGAGGTATTTATAGATTTTTTTGTAATTATAGTGATGATTAATTATGTTCTAATTAATTATGTTCTAATGACTATGTAATTCGTTGTCTTATGTTTAGGATGGTGGAGAACACTTGCATAAGTGGTGGGATCATGCAGTTGATGAGGAGTTTCGTGTGATACATACCAAACTTGAAACTCAGAAAGAAGCAATCCACCACGCTTACCAAAATCCTATGTTGGAGTCAATTCGTCAATCCATACGGGATATGCGTGCTCAAATCGAAGATCTTCAGAAGCGAGCAGTGGAGAGAGAAACCGAGATTGGTAGGCTGAAGGAGTTGCTATCTAAGTGGTAGTAATAACCACTTATGTATTTATGTATTTCTCTAAATCTTTGTAGACTTCTTATGTTTGTAATAACCCTATGTAGACTAATCTCCTTTATTTCCTATTAGTTTCTTAAGTTTGAACTAGTGACCTAGTTTTATTTCTAAATGTTTAAAATGGTAGACTTCTAAAGTTTCTCATTTCCCTATGTAGACTAATTAACTAAAATTGCCTAAACGTTTCAAAAATTGTATGTTTTATTATATTGATTTGGTCTATGTTTTCACCAAATTCACAAACAGTTGTACCGTGAATACCAGACAGTTGTACCGGTGAATACCAGGCAGTTGTACTATTTATACCAGGCAATTGTACCATGTATACTAGGCAGTTGTACCAGGAATACCTAGGAAGTTGTACCATGTATACCAGGCAGTTGTACCATGTATACCAGGCAGTTGTACCATGAATACCTAGTTGTACCATACACACTTGTACCTAATACTTTGTACGATCACTTAAATAGTTTCAAATTACCAAAATATAATATTAAGTACTTAACAAAATAATCCTAATAGTACCAAACACAAACTTGTTCAAAAAACAAAATAATGTTAAGGTTTTTCCCACCAGACAACAACACACCAGACAATCATTACTTCTTTCTCCTTCTCTTCGGCTGCACTTCCACAAATGGTGTCTTAATATGTTGGGAAGCTGCCCTTGTTCGCTTCTGTCCGGTTGCTATTACAGGTCCACCCTCTTGCTGCAACATCCTCTTTATCTTCTTGCCCTTCTTCTTCTCTTTTCCTTTCATCTCTTCCTCATTCTTTTTCTCCTCCTCATTCTTTTCCTCCTCCTCATCAGCTTCATACAATGTACAAAGAAAACAGTTTATTAGTTCACTTTAAAAGTTCAATAAATAACCAAGAAACTTCTACACTCACCTTGTTCTGGAACAGTTGGAGAAATGGGATTATAAAAAACCAATTCCATGGTTTGACTCATCTGCCCACCCTCAAAATCAGTTCTTTTCCCATATTGTGTTTCCAGAGGCGACCCATATGGCGGAAACACCGGACTATGATATCCCTGAGCTGCCACAGACACTTCAAGAGTCTTCACTCTAATCTCCATATCCCTAAACTTCTCCTCAATGGCATGAAAGCCATTGTTCACCACCTCTGTTAGTGAGGCAAGTGATGCAACAACTTTAGCAATATCAGAACTCTCTTTCTCAGGGACTTCTTGCTCAGGGGCTTGTTGCTCAGGGTCTTCATTCTCAAGAAACTTATTACCAATCTCTCGGGACGCCTGGTCCAGCTGGTACATTCCTTCCCACCATATCTTTTTCTTCTTTTCTACTAGACGCTCTCTCCAACTGTCAACAATGATATCAATATGCCCTAGGCCATCATCAACATTATCTTCAATGATTCCAGCCAACAAAGATTTCTCATATTGGTCTGGTACCAAGATGCTGTCAATATCCTGTGATTACACATACATTTAACTTAGACTCTTGATCAAATACATGACACAAACCAAATAATCAAATGAAGCCAGAAACTCTAACCTTGCTAGTCCCAAGCTCTTGATATATTTCTTCCAAAGGGATACCTTTCATGCCAGATTCTTTAAACTTGTGTTTGCACATCTTTGGACAGTCATTTGATGCACGTACAGGTACTCTATATTTCAGTCCAAGATGTGGAATACACTCATAAGGCAGAATCTACAAAAAAACACACACAGTTAATATCATAAAACCATATATACAACTTCAAATACTCAGACATCAAAAACAAAGGCTTACCTCCAGAGGTACAATGAATCCACTAAAGCTAGGTTGAGCTTTAGGTTTGACAGACCCATTCAAATTCTTCATCATATTCCAGATCCCTTTCATACATTCCAAGAAGGAATACCGGCCCCATGGATATGTCTCACATGCATCCAAATCATCAACAATCCTTAAAATAAAGGATTCTATGTTTCCATCACTTTTTGAGCTTGCTTTTACTACCTTCCATAGGAAATACAAGATTACTAACTTCTTCTTATCATCTCCTTTCCAACTCCTCTTTTCCTTCAACTTAACTAATACATCAGACGCCTTTATCTTCTCAGTCCTTTTGAACATTCTCTTCACAAACTTCAGATTCCCCATTTTCTCATGGTTCTTCGGGTATTCCTTGCAATTAAACCCAGTTAGCAACGCATGCTCTTTGATGGAGTACCTAATAGGTACTCCATTAACCACAAACCAGCACTCCCTCTCCATATCTGTCTCAACTGTGCGCAGCATAAGCATCCATATGCCTTGAGTCATGTGGTTTGGCTCCCTAGGCATGTGGAATACATGCTTGAACTGAGGGTGGCTTCTGAACGATCCTGCTTCCTCTTTAAACTCTTCCTCTATCCACTTCACTGTCTCAGTGACATTACACCTAGTTCCTATTTTACACCCTTTGGTGTATTCTGAACTATCTAAATACATTTTCTCTGGCGGCAGTGGCTGGGAATCATCTTCATCATCATCATTACTAGAATCATCATCAGCTGTTATACCAGCAATGTCCTTACTAGCTTCAGCAGCCTCATCCTCTATACCAAAATCCTCTTCGGCCTCTATACCAACATCCTTTACAGCCTCTATACCATCTTTACCAGCAGCAACAACACCATCCTCATCCTTTTTACCAGAATTACGAGCAGCATCATCCTCTTCCTCGGCCTCAAATGTATCCTGCATATTCAAAACACAATCCCTGAGTTTAAGTAGTTGAACTAGTTATATTAAAACACACAATTCAAACATATATATAATCGGGAGAAGTTTAACTAGTTGTATCAAAACACATAAAATCAAACCTATATATACTCCGATTCAATTATACCAACAAATAAATTCAAAACTATATATACTCATATTCAAAGACAACCTAATTCAATAGTTGAACTAGTTGTACTATGACTTTCCTAATCCATTCTCAAACTAATGTATACCTGAGCATTAACGTTCTCTTCCTCTTCCTCTGATGCATCCACGAGTTCCTCCTCTGCAGCCTCTCGTGCTTCAGTACTCGGTTCTATCGGACTCTCATTTCCAACTTGAATATCTGAATCATCAACTGCTTCTTGTCCTTCAGCATCATCCCTTTCCAACTCGACTGTTTCGTTTGCAAGTTGACTCTCAGAATCATCAAGTGCTGCTTCTTATGTCTGATCAATTTGCATCCCGACGCTTTCACTTCCAGGTTTGACCATAGAAGCATCTGGTTCTGTCGGATCTGCGGTTTCTTTTCCAGGTTCGACCGAAGCATCCGCTGTTTCTGTCGGACGCCTCGCCGTCGATTCATACACCCCTTCGCCGTCTCTTACACGAGCCATTGCAAAATTCCCCAGATTTTCGACGGATTTGGATATGAACAGGGAAAAGGGCGATGCGAAATTCGACTTAGAAGGTGAGAATGGAGAAGAAATCGACAATATAGGAGAAGAAATCCAAGAAATCGAAGAAATCGGAAATTTAACTTAGGGTTTCGAAAAATGAAAGAAATGGGAATCGATTCGATTTTCTTCAGAGTGAGAAATAATGAAACGGTTTCGTTTTCTCGTTTTTTACACAGTTGGGCTTCGTCGGATGGGCTTCGCTCGATAAAATCATTGGGCTTGGGTCGGATAAATCGTAACGGATCGACGAGATCTGATGTTGTCTATTTTAATTGGGTTTTTCGTCTTTTCATAATAATTGATTTAAATTCTTTTAAATTTTATTCATCAAATAAAACTAAAATAGAAGGGTGGCAAACCAGCCAACTTTTTCTCAGTGGCAAACCAGCCATTGTTTCATTTTTAATTGGCTTTGGTTCACTTAAATTAGACCGGACTAAACCAGTCAAAGAAGGAGATTGACTTACCTTTGGCATCCAACGGTGGGCATTAAGACGTAGGACACCAAACCGTAGGAGCATAACGGTGGGCTTTTCACCCAAGGCATGATGCCGCGCAGGACATCCGGCATTTAGGCTGGGAAGCAGTCTGCGGTTTACATCAAACCGAAGGACATCTGACCGAAGGATCCCAACAGTGTTCATTTGGCCGCAGCATTCATACCCAAGGGCATTCGCAAATTATGCTGGGATCATCCTTCAGCGACCTTTTGGCCGAAGACATGATGCCGCATGAACCAAACAGTGATCACTTAGCCCAAGTGTGACCCCGAAGGCTCTCCCTGAAGTTCTTCTTGTAACTAATCTCACCCAACAATTGCTCCATATATATGAACTCCATTCACTCAAGTCTTCAAGTTTCTAACTCCAACTCCTAGAGAAAACAAAGATATATGCAAATGCAACCTAAAAGATCCTAAATGCAACGAAAATGAATGGAAAACTAAGCTAAAAACTTGACAAAGTAACCACACATCATCTAGTTGGACAAAACAATACATTTTCATTACTCTCCATTATCATTAAGACAGCACTACTTGTGGTAGAGAAGGCGTTTATTTTCCATCTCTCCAATCAAAGAAGCCCAATTATTAAGACTACATTGTTGACCAAACAGGAGACAAAAGCTAAGAAATTAGTGATACATTCTATCTTTTGAATAAAGCATTATAGAAAACAAAACATTGGGAAAATGTCACGAACGAAATCAAACAATGTTCTGGAAACATACAAAAGCGCATGATCTTGATCTGAGAAGAAAGAGACAACAAAGGGCAACAAAGGGAGAGAGAAGTGTTGAAAATCTTCAATTTGGCAAATATTCCATAAAATTTAGCATAATTTGACATCAAAGAGCAACATAGTTTTGCACACACAAAAACAAAAGCAACATAGTTTAATAATAACAAAAACATAGGAAACTGTTTCACACAAAAGATGCAGAATCAGTGTTGCACCCCCAAATGCAAACGGCAAGCCTACGGCAATGAGGAGACGATTTTTTCAAGTACTTTTCATATAACTTGATAACATCAGTCTTCTTTATCTGTCTTAGTTCAGAGGAAACTTTCTTACTGAAACCAGGATAGAATCTGCACATCAACCAATACTTAGAGATCAGTTTCAAAGTCAAGCACACTTACACAACAACAACAATTATCATTTCAAAGATGTAAAACATACCTTCTCTCAGCAATCTGATCCCACAAATTAGATCCATCGTCGCTTGGCAAATCACCACTCAGTACGGTTTTGCATTTTTCAAAGGCAACACCATCAATACCTTCCTATAAGATTTCAATAGATTTCAAATCTTAATAACGCCGGTTAATTTGAAAAAAATAACTTCCAATAGATTTCAAATCTTAATAAAAAATCATACCAAAAATGCCCCAACGGTGTCCACATAGTTGAATATTCGATCCAACAAATGTTGAGGGTCGTGCTCCGAAGACCTAACATCAATGATGAACCGGTTGATTCCATGGATAGAATGAACCTCAGACTCAACTTTATACCCAAGAGTCTCTTTCACCCTAAAAATAGTGAAATCAACTAAGTTGTATACGTTCTGCGCTACATATTCTACCATAATCCAAACTGCAAACTAACCTTAATTGATTGTATAAGTTGTTGGCTACCATTTTTTTCAAACAGTTTTACAACTGCTGTTTCCCTCGGACATAAGCTTTTTTCCCCAATTTGGTAGCAAACCTAAAACCATAACCAGAATAATTAAGAATGATGAACATTACAAGTTTTAGTTTCTAGAGAATGATCTTAAAAGATTTAAAAATGCAGATCATTCAAACCTTGGAATGAGAATTAAGATCAGTCTTAATTTTAACTTTGGAGTCCTTTATGGTGGTGCCACGAAGAATTATGACACATTCATCATCGAGAGGAGTTTTTACCCTTCCAAATAAATCAGAGATAGCTACAGCTTCAGCTTTCGATAAATCCCCATATATAACTCCCTCAATGAACATCTAAAAGTGAGTTAATTAGTTAAAATGGCAAACATATAATTAGATTAATTGACTAGGATGACATAAATCCAAAAGAGAAACAATTACCTTCGAGCGCATAGCACGGACGAACCGACAAAACTGCTCATAACCAATTGACGAAAGTTCTTTCCTCATGTTATCAACATCATAACATGATTTTGTTATGCATTGTAACATGAGGTTGTCAGAGTGTTTTTGGATGTCACTGTTGCAGTTGCTCATGTGATTTGCCACCACTTCTTTCATCCTCTGAAACGAAATCTCCTCCGGAGAAAAGCTGATAAAGCGCTTCCAGATTTTAGAGATGTAATCTAACATCTTCTCTTTGAAACCACTGATTTCAAATGCAACATCGAGCTTCTGAGAAGCTTCTATAGATGTCTGCAGACAAGCTTCCGCCCCCTGTGAAAATATAACTTATTTTTATATATGATACTACCTTTTCTTTATATAAAAGTAAGGAAAAGCTTGATACTTACTTGGTAAAGTATCTCTGCCAGAGAATCTTTTAGAAGTCCAACATACAATTTTATGCAAAGTTGATTCTTCAAGTCAGAATCGAGATCATGGTGGACACAAAAATTGATTGTTGGCAGCCCTTCTTCTTCTGAACGCCACAGATTCATGTAGGAGTTGTGCACAAACTTATGTGGAAGTTCATCCTCATCCACAGATTCTTCATCATTAGTATCCTCATCCACAGATTCTTCATCATTAGTATCCTCATCCTCAGATTCTTCATCATTAGTATCTTCCTCCATTAAATCATCCTCAACTGTTGGAGATGGAAGGAACCTGTTCTCGGGGGGGGGGGGGGGGGGTTTTTTTTTTTTTTTTTTTTTTTTTTTTTTTTTTTTTTTTTTTTTTTTTTTTTA